AAAAGGTATTGATTATGAGGAAACTTTTTCACTTGTAGTGAGATTTACCTAATTTCGCATTCTTTTAGCTATTGTGGCTAACATAAACTTAGAATTACACCAAATGGATGTGAAGACTGCATTTCTTAATGGAGAACTTGTAAAAGAAATTTACATAGAACAATCGATGAGTTTCATTACTAAAGGCCAAGAGGATAAAGTTTACAAATTAAAAAGATCAATTTATGGCCTGAAACGATCTTCTAAATAGTGGTATCTGAGATTTCACAAAGCTTTAATCTCATAAGGATTTATTATGATGATGAAGACCACTGTATTTATGTAATAAGGTCTTACAAAGATTTTTTAATTCTATCTTTTTATGTCAATGACATTTTGTTAGCCTTAAACGATAAAAAGTATTTTGATACCATTAAAAAATGGTTATCATCTAATTTTGAAATGAAAGATATGGGTGAGGTAGATTACATACTAGGTGTAAAGATATATATATATATATATATAATTTGTTCTAAGAAATTACTTGGTCTTTTATAAGAACTTTACATTAAAAGAATTTTAGAATGATTTAGAATGAATAATGGCAAACCCATTGATACTCTAGTAACTAAAGGTGAAGTTTTGAGTCGTGATAAGCGTCCATAAACTCTACAAGAAATTGAGGAAATGTCCAAAGTACCATATGCTAATGCTATTGAGAGCTTAATGTATGTCATGATGTGTACTCGCCTTGATATATGCTATGCCATAGGTCTAGTAAGTAGGTGTCAATCTAATTCAGGGCAGAGAAACATTGGAAAGCTGTCAAAAGGATTCTCAGATACCTAAAAGGCACTGCAAATTATTCTCTTTGTTACCAAGGAAATAATTTATCGCTAAAAGGATATATAGATGCTGATTTGACAAATGATTTAGATGAACGTAAGTTAACATCTAAATATATATTCTTACTTAATGATAGCGCTATCTCGTGGAATAGTAAGTAGCAAACCTGTGTAACTTTATCCACAATGAAAGTAGAATTTGTGGCTATCTCATCTGTAGTTTAAGCTGTTTGGTTAAAACTTTTTTTTTTTTTAATCATTTGGGAATTGTAAACAATATATGGGAGCTGCGACTATTTGTTGTGATAGTCAAGCAACTATTGTTTATACTAAAAATCCTAAGTATCATGGAAAAAACCAAACACATATATATAAAATATAATTTTGTATGGGATATTGTTGACAAGAAGGAGGTGACACTCAAATACATATCTATGCATGCGATGTTGGCAATCCTCTTACTAAGCCTATCCAAGAGATGTATTCCTAATCATGTTAGAACTTTGGAATTGTGTAGAATATGATGTATTAAGAATGTTTATGAATATTTGTATGTTTATACCCACGTTACAAATGATATTATGTTTCAAATTTTATACATGTTTCTAATAATTGTATATTAGATAAGTATGTCAAACAAGTTAAGATAGGCTCTCTCACACAAGCAATCGCCTCTGACATTTCGAAACATGCAGATATAAGAATTATTTTAAATAATCGCCTCCAACATTTTGCAAATGTGTAGAGATGAGATTACTTTTTATATTCAGTAATCAAAATGGATTTCCCACCATCCATTAAACTTGTTAGTAAGGCCATATTTGAGTTGTCCTAATATCATTAAATTTGTTGAGAATAGACTGTATGGAAACCTGAGTTAAGTGTTGAGATGTATTTGAATTAAAATCTGTATGATACATAAAATAAAATGACATATAATTCCGAGTGGGAGTAAAAGTAAGTATCGTAACACATGTTTCATACCGCGTGTGACATGTGACTATTTGTGTAATGAGTAAATATATCTCGATTTTATAATTGTGTGAGACCTAGATATTTATTTAAATCTCATTTTATACTCTTATGACTTTCAATGGTTTATTGAGATCATACTTTAATGTCGCTACTTTTGCATGTTACCAATATTTATGAATGATTCGGTAATATGGTGCATGACTAGGAAAGCAGTTAAAGTGATTATTAAGACTTACTAATTGCAAAGGAAGATTGTCTTTGACTAGCATTAATTTTGCATTCACAAGCCGGCCAATTATGTTTAGAGGAACATAATTGTGAATGCAGCATAATTTTGAATGAAGTCGAATATGCTCTTAAATATTTGAGGGATAAAGAATTTTGTTGACTAGTACAGTATGAAAAAAATCTAGGATATAACAAGTTATATTATTCTCATTTTATAGATGAGCTACTATATATCTTTAATCGGTGTATTGCATATGAGCTTTTATCTGCTCGCTGGTCACATGACTTATTTGCAAGTATGAAGTTTGAGAGTGTAGTGTGTATTAAAATATTTCTCTAATATATGAATCAACCCACATGTGTGAGTGGAAGACGTTAGAAAATGAGTAAGATCACCCATGTAGGTTGACTAGACCCTGACCCATTACACAATATAGGTAAAAGAAGGTACAGTTAAAAATAATAAAATAAATACTCATAACTGTTCAAATATATAAAACTCATTTCCTACATAAAATAATTTCTTCCTATCATTTTACGTTAAACAAAGAGAGAGATATATTATATATTAAGAAATTCAAACTTTGCATCTAAGTTGTGAAAAAATGAGATTGTTTCAATTGTTAGCATTTTCAGACCAAGACATTCAGTGAAATAGTCTAAAAAATCCTAATATAAAGTATGTATATTTGTTTAGAATTTAGAATTTGATTCTTCATGTTGAATTTCCAATAAAAAAACCAGTTTGTTTAAATTTTAAAATTCTCAAACTTAGATAATTTTAGTAAAATATAGAACTGAACTTTGTATACCTCACAGCTTGCCCTTCTCTGCTAGGGCAGGCTTATCTCTCCGTGCTTATTAGAGAATCACGTATGGCTGACTTCTACACCAAATCACTGCATTAATTGAACCATTTTATTGAGTGGCACTGGTGGTGCTACAAGGTTGACATGGTGACAATTTTGGACGCAAATTACGACAAGGAGCCAGGGCCAATACTTGATGTAATGCTCGATGCTTTGGTTGTATTAATCTTTGATATATTTTACCCTATATGATATGAGATTCTTGGACTCTTTCCTTGTTTCTCTCTAGAGAAGGGGAGACCAAGAACGACATAAGATCATGCAAAATTAATAATTGCACCCACCACATAGTCATCGCTACCTTAAACACAAACAAGAAGACGGGAGATAGAGAGAGAACAAAACATACTCTGCACGAAAGCTTAGGCCAAGAGTTCATGCCTCCTCTCTTTTGAACGGGGTCTATTATCCAGCAGCCCCCATCAATCCAGAACCCAAATAATAAAGTTAAAAAATGTAAGTTGAACCATAAAAACCTTCCATATATGTGCTCAAAGAAAGTCGTACAGATTTGCTACGTTAATAACCATTTAAACAATAATATTAGCTCTTAAAATTCTCAATAAGTCAGTTTTAATATAAATTTGGTCCAAATTTTAATATTTAAATTTGATTAAAATATTTAATAAATCAAATTTAACTATAAACATTCGTAATCTAAAATAAATAAACTATATTTGAAATTAAACAATCTAATATATTAAAAATCTAAATTTAAATTTAATAATATTTTTAGTAAATTAATAATTATATATATAGTATTAATAAATTTAAACTTATAAGAACTAAATTAAGAATATCAAAAATTTTAAAAATTACTATAATTAATAGGATAAAATCACAGGACTTAAAGTACAAAACGAATAGCATTTCAAATCAAATTAAATTTTTTTTTTGTTGAATTTCAAATTCTTTGTCTAATTCAAATATAAATTAACAAACACATAACTTATAAGATCTCAAATTGAATTCAAATATATAAATAAATAATTAAATTTGAATTTGTTTGATTTTCACTTATATATGACCCAATGATACGTAACTCCGTCAGTGCAAAAGAAAATGTGCAAGAGCAGAAGAGAACCCGGCTTTTACGTAAATCATAGCTTAAGCGTTCTCTCTCGCTTAGCCGGCACTGGGCAGAACTCGAATGCTTTGATTATATTTGTTACATTAATTATCATATATTAACATGTGAGAGAAATAGATGACATTAGTTTTGTTTACTTTTCTAGGTAAAGAAAATAGAGAACACGTTCGGAGTCGGGATAAACGGGAGTAAGATTACTTGTAGACAATTGAAGTACGGAACAACGTTTATCATAAAAATACGTTTTCAAAAGTGAATTCCAACAACAATTGCCAAACACGCCTTGCTTATCAGTTTTCATAGTTTTTGAACAGTAAACATAAACATCAGAAAACACGCCTTAAGAATTAATTTTGAAGTTCACAAATCAATTAGTGCCCACAACATGAGCAAGGGTGACCTATCTAACTGACGAAGTAGCGTAGCTTCTAGATAGAAGCACACTTCAGCCGCATTACTATTTGGTAATTTATATGATCATTAATAGTCCACAAACTCAGCAGTGAGTTTATGAGCAAATGCAATTTAGAAAACATAAATTTCCCAATCAAAGAAAACCCCAGCTAAAGAATGGATCTCCAAGTGACTACTTGACACCCATTTGGCTAGAATTTGTAGCAACTCACCCCTACTCTTGGTTTTTCTCTTCCCTGTTAACGGAAGTAAAAAAGGAAGCATACAGTTTCAAGAAACTAACGTTCCAATAAACTGATGATTCAAGATGGTCATAATTCTGATCTTAATTCATCAGGGAACCGTACCACACAAAGACACCGAGCATGGGCATGGCTGTGAAAAAGAAAAGAACATAGGTTTAGTGACATACATGCAAGTGATAATGTATGCCTGATTAGAGGATTCTGAGAATGCCACATGGCCCACACCCAGTCAAAATTTGTGGATTTCAAGCATGCTCTAACTAGATACAAGCCCCACTGACAATCCTTTTAGTGAGAAAATTAAGCCCCACTTAAAGATGATAATAAGCGGAATCAAATAAGTTACAGCAATCTGTCACTGAACCATCCATCCCTCACAAAAGTGAACAGGCCTAACCCAAAAGCCAGCTACATAAATATCCTTACATCCATGCACTCTTTTGGCATTTCCCACCACCTAAAACACGAGGGAGAAAGAGAGAGAAGAAACATGCAAGACTAAAAATGCCATTTAGCAGGTAATGGAGGTTGCCAAGGGGGTTACCAGAACAGCAGTGTTTATTGGCTGGTGACTGGCTGCATTCTCTAGTTGGACCCATGTTTCCTTCCGCTTCTCTTCTAACAAACTTAGTTTAGCTTGCTCCTCCTTGAAATGGGCATGGCATGCCATGAACAGCACATCATCCATCTCTGTAAACATCTTACTCACATTTAGGGTTAAATTGAGCACTGATGGGCTCCAGTGGCTCTGAGCATTCTTTTGCAGTGCCGGGAATATGATTGGTAGGATAACGCGCCGGTTATGGGCAATGAGATTCACAATTTGATCATTATTCCAGAAGAAAAGAGACCTTTCAGCCACCTGAAAGAGTTAAATATTGTCAAGGTTATTCCTATTCATGTGACCTACATTCAAAATTTTAGAGACCTTAAAAAAGCTATCCAAATAACATGAAAGATGCTTTATATACACATCTATAAAGGGACAACAAAACTACAAACAAACATCAAGAAGAAATCAGCTAAAACAATTAAATAATAAGAGAAACAACCATACGCAAATTATGTCTGAATGGAAGGGATGTGTAGATCAAAATCATGCAGATATAGTACTTAAAATTGACAACATAGGTGAGGAATTAATATGGTGATCACAGCCAGAAGTTTTATATTCATAAGGTGCATTTATAAGCTAATCAGAATGAAAAAAGCCCCAATTAAATCAATCTCCCTGTCCCAACCACAAACCCAAAAAAATTATTAAGCATAAACAGAACATATTTTTTCATTATTTAATTATTTTTATTATTAGTTGTTCGTTATTTCCCCTGGCAGAAGGGGAAAGTAAATCTTCTCCTTGCACTCTTGTATTCATGTCTTACTCATAAAAGTGTGGTTCCATTAGAAAATGCACAGTGATGGAATTATCATGCATGAAATATGAGAGCAACCATGGAGAACAGGATCACTGCTTAGGAAGCTCAGTCATACAACAAAAGTAATTGATATTTCTTCATTTTGCATGGATGAAGAAGAAAATGGAACGCTGTAGAAGTGATGGAAGGAAAAAGGTCATCATCATCACAGGGAAGGATGCTACTCTATCCCTCCTCTTATTTGATGCTTGGAGAAGGAAAGGGAGGATACTTTATAGCTCTGCGACTGTGCCCTTGCATAATGGAAGAGTATTTCAATAGAAAATTACCAAAATAATGAAACAGCCAAGTTGATGCAATGTTTAGGTGAAACATTCTACTATGTGCTTAGAATTCTATTTCAGCTCATGTTCTACATTTCCTTATATATATAACTTTTGTCTTGTGGAAAAATATTAGATTTCAAGTCACAGATGTGCTTGTTAAATATGTTTTAATGTTATTCTATTGTTGTATTTTATATTTGTGAGAGCTATGTTTAGGCTCTTAAGCCAAGCATACAAAGTCATTATGAAAAGGATATGGATTGAAATCTTTAGAAGAATCCTCTCTTCCAGCTCCATTTTCTAAATCTCCATCTTATCTCAAATCTTTAGATTTAAATTATTATCTGCATATTGCATGCTTGTGTCAAGATATATCCAATCTACATAAAAGAAATCTCACTCTCTCCTTTTTGGGATTTCTAATGCAGGCCAAATCCCCTCCCCCTGTCTTGCCTTTTTCATACCAGCAAACAGGGCTATAACTATCCAAAGTCACCTCTTTCCTCCTAATATTTCATTTCTCTCTCTTTTGCCTACATGACTCAGTCTACAAGAAGACAAGTAAATCAGACTTCCTACCACTTTGATCCTTCTACTTTCAGGTAGCTTCACAGTTGAAGATGCATGAAACATGTTATGACCCCAAGCTTCTCTCTAAACATGGAACTTACAAATCTTCAAAATTCTGACACATTCATCTACAAAAATTACAGATCCAGTGAACCATGTTCAAATAAGAACCAGGATTATACATCTTACACCTCAAATTCTTTTGTAAATAACCAGAAGAGACAAAAATAGAAGTCTGGCTTTTTCTACCAAACCAAACACGCTTTAGTACCAATAGGGAATAAAGATGCTCTCCCAAACCAATTAACCAATAAGAGACAAAGCAACAAGGACATCTAGTCACGAGGATAAATCAAGTACTTTTTTATATTCTATAAAAATTAACCTAGCGCAAAACAATTATCAAACTCCGAAAGATAATTTTCTCTTTCCAAATAATAAAGAAGAGCCATGCACAGGTCTAAATGATAGCGGCGGAAAGCAAGAATTGAGACATTACAATAAACAAAAAAGATACCTGAAAATGGTAACTGTTGATACAACATCCGATCCGCCAGAATAGAGGAACCATTATTTTTTGAAACTCCCCCATGTTAATTCCTTCAAGAATTTCTTCTAACTCACCCAAGAACATCACTTCTTTCTGACTATTTGTAACTGGCCAATATTTCAGTAACCCCCTTATCACCGTGCTAGCCAGTTTCGGATCCTTTTCTATGAACTGTGCAATACAGTAGGACAGTTGTTGAAAGTAAACACCCAAAGATTTTGGCTTATGTAGGGGAATTAAAGCCCTCCAGAGAAAGATCTTGTGCTCCTCCTTTAGAGGCAACGCAAATCCACTAATTACACTCCCGAAAATCTCCAATAATTCAGCAATCCCATTATGCCGCTCAGTTTCAAATATGAAGTGATAAAAGATATTGCTGATGCTCTTCCTAATAAAGGGCCTGTGAACCATGAACTTCCCATAAATTCGGTGCAGAATGGTTTTCAAGCATTCTCTTTCTCTAGGATCCTCAGAATCAAAGAGATCGAGCAAACTCAAAATAAATGAATGATTTATGTATTTCTTTGCTACCTTCGATTCGAGGGAAGAAGAAATTACAAATTTTAGCAGTATCTCGTACACAATTTGTAAATGTGACCATGCAGGATCAAACATCGGTTCATCTTCATCATTTTCACTGCCACCAGCTTTAGATCGATAATTAGGTGGAAGTGCCCTAAACAAGTTATTAGCACACATTTTACACATTGCTAAAATTGCTGGTTCAGTAAACCGCGGAGGATCAGTAGCAACAAAGTCGAGAAGCTCTATCAACGTTATACGTTTAAGATCTTTCTCAGTTGCATTTTTGCTTGGGTCACTGAAGTCAAAAACCACACAGCAAAGACTTAACTTACTGATGAAGAGACTTAACCTCTCTGAGCTCGGAACGTCTTTGAAGGCTAACAGAGGCTCGATTCCGGCAACTACAGTCGATGGAAACACAGCAGACGATGTCCTTTTGACAGCGTTTAACCTAGAAGAAACCACATTGCCACTTGCCGTGCGCTGCAACGGCGAACCGTGCTCAGAACCACTCCTCGGCGCATCAATGAAGTCAGATTTGGACGACTTCCGTGGAAGTCTACTGAGGAATTGCTTCAACATCGGGACAAAAACCTAATCAACACAGGGTAAGTCAAAAACTACTTAAATGAACGCCATGGAGGTGCTAACTGGTAGCCACCAGGTCGAAGCACAAGATCCGGACAGCAATGCCCTAGATCCACGCAACTGCTACAGCATAGATTGATTTAACAAGGAGCTTGCATTTTGACTCCAACTATTTGGCACTGGAATGGACAACCAGAATATTCCAGATCTTCATGGCGGAGCTGATCTCAAGCTCATGCTTCACGATAGGCTCATCTTTAGGTAGAGAAAAGGCAGACATTTGTAGAGAAAGAACGAGTAGGAAGGAGGAGAATGAGCAAATCCTGTCTCTCCCTGTAGCTCCATGTTCCGCTAACATCTTCTGCTAATATACAGGGAGAAAGAACCCAACAACAAATGCCAAAAAAAAAAAAAAACTTTTTGTTTTTATCGTAGCGAAATTTAGAAGTGACAATTTTTGAAATTGAAAAAAAAATAAAATTATTAAAAAAATTTATTAAATCATGTATTTATTTATTTTATTTGTATAAATGTTGGTTTATTTCCCTTTTGTTTATGTTGAAAAAAAAGTATCAAATGTAAATTTATATGCATATATAATAAAATTAATAAATTTTTTATTATTTGTCAAGTTAAATAATTATTAAATGTAAGCGATATGATATATATTTCTTTATCATGTATGTGTGTATGTGTGTGTGTGTGTATATTTTATAGAATACATGTTTCATCTTTTGCTATCTTGTAACGAGCACAAATCCAATATTAGTATTATCAAATGGTCAAGGTGATACTAGAATCTCTTTTAATATTAGTATTTTGAAAGTCAGGCTAAATCGATATGTTTAATTAGTTCAATAAAAAAAAAGTAGTTTTTTTAGATTGGTTGACTAGAAAAAATATTTAATTTTGAATCATTAGAAATTGGTAAAAATAGAAAAAATTGATTTATTAGTTTGATCTTTTCTTTACGAAAATATATAAAATAAACTTATTTTTTTCAATTTTTGAATGTAAAACTTAAAACTAATTATAATGAAATAAATTATTAATTTTTAAATTTTTATCTTTATTTTTGTATTTTTCAATTACTTGCAATAATATAAAAATATATATTTTTATATTAGATATATTTATCATGTCTTGTTAATTTAACTAATAATTTAATCAGTTAAACTTATAACGAATAAAACTATTAGTTTAGTTATTAGTCTAATTTTTAAAATATTGGTTAGTATGTCTAAGTAATGATTAGACACGTGGCATCAACTTAAAATGAAATTATTACTTTTTTGTTTGAGAATAATATAGTTATTAAATTAAATCATGAAATAAAAATGTGTATTCAATGTATTCAAATTGTATCAAAGTAGCCCTCCATTCACTTTCCTCAACCAACAGCTGGCATATGCTCATTGGTCACTTAGTTTCTTATGGGCATAACTGCTCATGTCAAAAGGTGAGAGCCAAAGTTGGATTCCGATCAAACCATGCACACTTTTGGTGAGACAGGCTAAGAGAACAAAGGACGTGGCTTACTATAAAACATTTGACATGTGAGAGTGACACGAACAGATGTGGGTGAAAGATGACGTGGGTTTGCGTCAATATTATAATATACTTTTATTAAAATTAATAATTATTTATAATAAAAACAAAATTTAATTTTACTATGCTGTAATTATTTTTTAAAATAAATATTTATCGTGTTTATGTGTGTTGATTCTCCTAATCCAAATTATCAACCCAACATGTCGCTTTAGTGCTCTCCTTTTGGTTTTTACAATTTGACCCCTATAGGTCTTTCACCAACGTTTAAGACGGTGCAAACAGGAAGGGGGCAATTGGTCATGTTGGAATCAGGAGGAGGGGAGGGGGAAATTGCCATTTGTCTAAACATTTGGGGCAAAAGTGAAAATGACCCTTTCAAAATTGACACAAAGTCCTTGCAATACGTATACATGCCTATTGTCAAAGAACATTAAAGAACATGTCAGAGTTTGGGATTCATAGGATTTTATAGAATTCAATTAACAATTAATGGTCCTATAGCCCTTTTACTTGAATAATTAATAATTAATAATTTAAAAAAAATCTAAAATTTAAAACTGTTCTTACAATCACTTAAACTAACCCACTTTATTTGCAAATCAAATTAAAAAAATTTAATTTAATTTAAATTATTTTATTTTTCTGTAATATATATCACATAATTTATAAAAATAACATATTTAACCAAAAATATTAGTCAATGTGGTGAACAATCTCTATTGTCACGACAATGATAACACAGATTTAATTTTTGAAAAACGTATTTGTTAAAAAGGGTTTTAACTTTTACACTCTCAACTCGAAGATAATTAATTTAGGGTCAAAATTGGACTAGAATTACTCTTGATTTTCAAAAGAAAAGCAGCCTATATATATATATATATATATATTGATTACTATAGTAATATTTCCTATTTGGTCCCCTTGCTATATTTTCTCTAATTAAAAGTTCCTAATATGTGCCACGTGGAGTTTGATTAACGTCACAAAGTGCGACTCAGATGCCTCGTTATAACAAATTGTGTTATTAAAGTTAAATTAGGATTTCTCTAATTTTTAAAAATTATATATTTCTTCATTTTTATATATTCCAACATTAACTTTCTATAAATAACATATCAAATATTTAGATTTATTTTTGAACAAATCTGGACGACGGAAAAGAAATGGATGGTGCAGATCTAATCCAAGAAAGATTGCCGGGAAGGAAGCAAAGTTATAATGCACAAACTTTGTTGGTTGGTAAAGGAGAGGGAGGGAAGGAATAAAAGACAAAGGAAATAGTCAAGGCACAAGAAAGGGAAAGAAAAGTAATGACTGCTTAAAAAGTGAAAAGCCATTGAATCTGGTCATAGCTGGTGCCCTGCGCCTGTTTTAAAATAATTTATTGAATTTGGATGAAACGCAAGTTAGAATTTTAATGGAGGACTTTACTGTGAAACGAAAAGTTTCCGAGACCTAAAATGGAAAATAATTCAAATGAAGGGCCTAGAAGTCATATATATATATAGGCCATACATAGTTATAGACAATGTAGATCTTGTTTTTCTATCGTATGTTTTCAATAGCAATCAAGTGATGTTAATAACTTTACTCCCAAATCTAATTATGAATGCTTGAACATGTCCACCTCCACCTCACGTAGTGAACTTTGGTTGAGTCCCTCGTTGGCTAAACCTACGCTTTATCACTCGCGTCTCTTTTTGTACTGGATTTAAATAAAATAAATTTTAAAAAATAAATTTAGATAAATAATTTTTATTATTTAATTCTGTAAAAATTGTTAAAGTAAATTCTAAATAACATATTCACTTCGTCAATTTTTTGAAACTTTCAAATCACGTTTTTCTATGATTCCTTTTTTTAAATTTATATCTCCAGTTAAACTAGCCATTAAACACACACTTAGATAACATATAATACGATAAAATAAATTTTTATGAAATGAGAATGAGAATGAAATGAAATCAATATTCTCTTTAGTACGTTTAGTGCACACTGATAAAATGAAAATTTTCGTTCTATTATTATGTTTTGTATGTTGGAATAGAGATATGAAAGTAAATAAAAAAATATTCAAAGACAAAAATACCATTTGTTATAAAAATATTAAAATTAAAAAAATAATTTTTAATATATTTTAAACGTATTAAAAAATTAATTTTTTATTCTAACATTAAAATATTAAAATCATATATGTGTATTTGTATGTATATATATAATAAGTTATATATATATTTATATATATTATATAAATATAATAAATAATATAATATATCATATTATACAATTTATTAGTGTAAGTAATATATTAATATATAATATTATAAATACTTATAATTTTCTATATTTATAGGATATTTTCGTCATTTACTTAAAAAGTAAAGGGTAACATACTAATTAATACTTGAATAAGGATTCAATCACTCTAGTGAGAGAATTCAGATTCCTTCATCTGATAGAATTCTCATTCTCTAGGGAATGAGGATTCCCATTCCAAAATACCTACTAAACATATTTTTTGACATTCCCATTCCTATTCCCTTAAGAGTATTCTAATGTACCATATATCACCTTTTAACTAAGACTATGAATAAGTTAGATTCAGATCAAATCAGAATAATCCGAATCTGAATCCGATTGTAAATATATCTAACCGAATCAAATCTGAGATCCTGTAGGATTTCTATCTATCACTACTATGTCCGAATTCGATAAAAATCTAAAATCCGATCCGAATAACAGTTAATAATAATTAAAATCAAATAAATTATTATTTATGAATGATAAAAATTTATGTAATATTTATGTTTAATTATTATGATTTTATTAAAATATAAATAAAATTTAAAAATAAATTACTATTTATGAATAATTAAACAAAACTTTTGTTATATCATATATTACAAAAGTTATAATACGATTCTAATATTTTATAAAATCATCAAGTTTTATTCGTATTACAGTTAAAATTTAGAAAATTTTGTAATCAATTTATTCAAGTGTTTTACGAGATTTCAAAAATAATTGATTATTATATATAATGCATAATGAAAAAACTAAAATTAGGAAAAGTTAAAAAGTATTCTAAAATAATTTTGAAAAAATATATATTATTCTATTAAATAAAATACCTTACAAGTATAAATTAGCGCATTATTATTTATAATATTACATATAATGCATTATATATAAAAGTATTTATTAATATATATATATATATATGTGTGTGTGTGTAATTATTAATTAAATAAAAAATATTATTAAAAATATTTAAATATAGATTTTTAACGGATCAGATTGTTTAATTTCATATCTGATCTACTTATTTCCAATTACAGATATTTTAATCAAATTTAATCTATCAAACATTTTAATAAATTAAAAAATCTAAAATTCAGATCATATTCGAATTCAAATCTAACCCATTAACAATTCTATTTTTATCCTAAATTTATTTAATACCACGCTTAAAAGTAAGACTCTCGCGTCTTCAAAAGGAGACAAACCCAGTGTCAATGTGAGAGGTAAAGATATTACATTTAAGAGGTCGTTTAGTAAGTAAGATCGGATAAGGTAGGATAGGGCAGGTAATTGGATAAATTATCCTGACCGCATAGTGATTTAGATAATTATCTTATTTGACAAAAGTGGTGAAAGTGGTGGTAGTAAGGATAGTATTGTCCAAATAAGTTGGGTAGAGGTCGGATAAATTATTCTACCCCTCCCCCTAATAGAGTTTATCTAGATTTGATCCTACTATTATCCAATATCTCTTTTACCCAGACTTTATCCGATCTTGCTTTA